ACTATATATTTTATTTATACTTTTAATTTATATTTTACTTTTCTTTGACTTTATCTATTTTTTAATTTTTTTCACCTGCCCTTCTTTTGGTAGTAACGAGGCGGTTTCTATTTAGATAATGAATTTTTATAAAAGTTCTTAACGATAGAATAAACGTATTACTGTTTTATATTAACTGTGTCATTTCGGAATCCATTCTTTACATAGTTGTTCATTTACTTTAGGAAACGCGTTTTTCCTTTTTTTTTTATCAGAATTTTTGCAAGTTGCAATCGCGCAAACTGGCATTTCCATAATAGTTTTAAATTCTTGTAAATTCACTGCAGAAACTGAGGAAAGTCATTATGGAAAATAACAAATGTCTTAGAATATCTCGCAAAAAGAAATGATCCAATATCAGTTAGAGCTAGTAAGGCTGAACGCTCCGTCTTTGAAGTAAAAGTACGAGCTTTGCGCCAAAGTGACGTCACTAGAGAAAATCGGAGAATTGGCGCGGCGAGAGTTTCTTCAAAGGAGTGAGCCAGCCCTTCTATTCTCTTTAGCCCTGCGTCCTACCAACCAAGCTATCCCAACCCTTTGCTACCTGTTGAGCACTGCTTCCGACCACTGCTTAAGGCTTACATATGTAGATGAAAGCAACTAAGTCGGTTAAAAATGTTTAAAAAAATTAGAATTTAAGTTTACTTTATCCACATTTTTTATTTATTTTATTTTATAACTTTTATTTTCCTTTTAACTCATATTTTCTTATAAGAAATGCTCTTCCTATTTCATCAGTCTCTAGGAATTTCTCGTTTTAAACGTAAAGTTTGAAATGTAAGTGCAAGTAATACTCCGTTCTTTTCATTACTTTAATACGTCTTACACATTAACCCATAGGCTTTGCACGAAGTCTCAGGAATTTTCGAACATCTTTTGCGATTGCATGACTATTTAGCCATTAATTTCATGTGACTTTAAAACCAAAATACAAAGGGATTAAATTTCAAAGTATTGTGCTCCTCTTTCTTATAATTTATTTTTTATTATAGTAAAGTTTAAAAAAAAATTATTTTCTAATATTGAAAATAAAATTTTTTGTTTACACGATGGAAAGTTGTAAAGCGAAAATCGTTAAAGAACCTTAGTAAAGATAACAGCGTAGCTTATCAGAGAACAATGCACCTGTAGAGGATTAATTTCTTATTTTTTGGTTGGTAGGTACTGATATTTACGTCACACTAGAGATGCACAATAGGCTATTGGAGACTGTCTGGGAAACATCCCTGGGGATGAACCGAAGACATACCATCGACCATCCGGAGACATACCAATTTTGATCCTCTGCTAAGAGGATTACATTCGTTAGGCCACTTCTTCAGTTTAGACATAGATCTGAAGGGGAAGGAAATTTTTTCCAGATCCCTGTACTCATGGGGGGGGGTCAGCGACTGACGGCAGGACGTTCGTATTCACGAGCAAGCATATCGCAAGCACTTGTTAGGTCTTGAAGAGTCATGAATCGAATCCCGGCCCCTCCAGACCACTGGACTACCACAGCCCTATTTTCAGTTCTGTACGGTACTTTTTATTTACGTCGAACTAGAACTGCACAGTGGGCTATTGATGACGGTTTGGAAAGAAAAAAAACATCCCTGAGGATGTTCCGGAGACCAGTGGCGTACGCAAGGGAGGGGTTTAAACACTTCCCTTGAGCTCAGACAAAATGAAAAAAATAGTGGATGATGTAATATCAAATGATTAGGGTGCCCCCTTAAAATGGATTTGTTTGAAAATCAATTTTAAAATATTAAGAAAAACAATGATTTTTTTTAAAAAAAATCAATTTTAAATACATATTAAAATTTTTTCAAAATGTTATGATTAAAATTTAGTTCTAATTTAACAAAATAAAGTAAAATTCAATTTATTATTATTTATTTTAATTTTAAACATGCTTTCTGAAATGAAAAGATATATAAATACTTTTATATTTGAATAAATAAAAAATATACGAGAAAAACAACTTAATCGAAGGGCCCCAAAAATTTGAATGGCCTAGGACCCCGCGTACGCGCCGGCCCTGAGCATAGCATTTATTTCTGCGCCAATATATATATTTACTGTTCTTGGATCTTTAGGATGTCAAAACGTAAGAATTTAGCAATTTTTAATTACTTTGAGAAAAAATCACGACCTGAAATTAGTGAGGTGACAGCATCTAGTATCAATGTAAGTTTTTCTGCTGTACAGAAATGTGATACTTCCGTTGAAGAAAACGTTTCTAGCATAACAAAATCTGATGAATGTGAAAGTGGCCCTCAAAGTGTTACTTCCCGCCCATATGACATTGGACTTTTTTCAGAAGATATTACATTATGTTCTTAAACTTAAAAAATCAAATCAAAATTTAACCAAACAATGTTGTCAAAATAAAAAGTCAAAATTGTCTAGCTGTCTAAATTAGGGAAATAATAGTGCTTTATTACAGACTCGAATTTCTTTTAGTAGTTTCAAAAATTATGAACACCCCCCTTGAAAAAATTCTGCGTACGCCACTGCCGGAGACAGCATACATCATGCGTTACATCCTGTTTTACAGGGAGGACACATTTACTCTCCATTCATCCGCGGATCATAATTTTGACCTGAACCAGAGCCTTTTATTTTTTAGTAGGAAACAAAAATTCTATGTAATTGCAGAAGGCCATGAAAGTTTCAGTTATCTAGTATTTTTGAAGCGTTTGTGGCAGCAACTAATATAAAGCTCTCTAACTCACACTTTTCCATGAAGATTAGAGCATCCAGCTACGGACTCAAAATTTCCGGGTTTGATCCCTGCCCGAGGGTCATGAGCATCTCTCTCCATTCCTCCACATTGATGACCATGGAAAACGAACACGCATCCCTCGACATATGACTGAACTACACTATTTGATCTCCACAAAAAATCTTTGCAGAACCTCAAACAAAGCCTTAACTGCACTAGAATGGCAACTTCACTTACGGCCATGTAGGCTCTCTATCGAAATACGATNTCTGACTACGAGTCAGACTTTCCAGAGTTAACTGGGGGAGGAGTGTGCGGAGAGAACTATAATTCACTTACCCTGCTCGGGGGTGTACCCCCATTTTCATTAAGATTAGAGCATCCGACTACAGACTCAACATTCAAAGAACCCGTGTTCGATCCCAGTCGGTGGCCAACAACTCTCTCACACATTTTTCCACCTTCATTTACCAACACCCATCAGATCAGTCTTCTTGCCATTTTAAAATATGTTAATCTGACACATCGGGAACTTTTTAATCAACCCGATATGAACAGCTTCATCTTCGACATTAGGAATGATATTATTAACGTATATATTAGAACTTTCCAAAATCTCAGCAGACCCAGGGGCATAAGATCTTTAGAAAAGATGACTCGAACAGAAAAATATTGCAAGATGAATATTTTACATAGATCGACGATCACGACCGTGAATGAGTGTATACTTCTAAATACAGAGACTATAAATAATTTAATACAGCATCAAACATCGAATGTTGGAGGAAAAAAAAGAGCTTTATTTTTGTAAAGGGAGAGAACCTACAGAAATGTGTAAGAATCCTATTTAAAACTACAACACGCCCAGCGTAATTTCAATGTTTGATTGAGACGTTCATTTCTCTTATCATATATTCTACAGCCACAAAAAAAGAATTTCACGTGACTATACAAATTGAGTAATAAATAAAAAATGAATGAACGAAAATCGATAAGGTAACGTGTCTGTGACGTAGAGTTAACTACTGGCGCACGTGCCGTTCACTGAACACGCCCATGTCGGCTTTTTTTATTGTATTAAAAATAAGGGTGGCAGCAGAGGAATGTGTTTGTAAATTCGCCGGTTTTTAGCGAGTTTTAAATTTATTCTCTTTAAATGAATGAGTTTTTACATAAATTATAATTTGTAAATTTTGGATTATCTAAATACTTTGTTTTTTATACAGGAAGCTTCAAGTTTGTAAGAGTAAGTGTGATTGATTTGTGTAACAGTTGTTGGAACTGAAATTTTTATTTTTCTGTTCTACTCTTGAAAAGAATTTAAATTTACTCTAAAAAATTTAATCCTTTCCTCAGTTTTATTACATTGTTTTTTACTTCTTTTTTTGTTTTTTTTTTCTTTGTATCAAATTATAAAAATTTTCCGAGAACATTTTATCCTTTCTCATAAAATAAGTAAACGGAATTCTTTTGGAAAGTTTGTCAATTCTAAAGTAATTTTTTTTCAGTTATACTTAATTTTTTGGTTTAGTATAAGTTTTTTTAAGAAAATAATTTCTTAATTTGTATCCTAAATTACAACATTTACATATTTTTTTTTTAAAACGAAACTTTTCTGCACGTTAATTTAAGTTTACTGTTATACATTTTAAATTATTGTTCTACGTAATTCATACAAGAATGCTGGAATTCGTCCCTATTTTTCTTTAATATTGAATAATACATTACATTAATTTTGGTAGTATTGATTAAACTTGTCTTAAAAGTGTCAAATAACATATTTAATAGAAAACAGCACATTTAAATTTTTGTATGTTTAGCACTGGTCACAGCACTTCTTAAATGATTAGAAATGCAAAGTGCGGATTTATTGGGACATATTTATACAAATTTTAGTGCACTTTTGAAATTTGGAAAATTTTTTCAAAAATATTACGAGACTGTCATACTATGTAACTTCATTTTTGTATCAAATTCACTAATTTTTATTTATGGTTTGTTTTTTTAATAATAATATTTGTAATGCATAATATGTATTTATTTTTACATATTTACTACATTCAATTAGTATTTAAGTAATTGTATATTCATTTTAGATAATTTTCAAAATTTTGAAATTTGTATAATTTTTTTAAAACTCTTACAAAAACTTTCATACTACACTGATAATTTATTTTGTACTTTTATTTTTGCATCAAACTCACAAATTATTTATGCTTTGTTTTTTTTAATAATAATATTTGTAATATAATACATATCTATTTTTACCCATTTGCTGCATTCAACTAGTATTAAAGAAATAGTAATTGTATATTGATTTTTATTACACTAATTTTCTAGCCAAAATGAATACTGAAGTAAAACGACCCATCAAACCGAACATGAAATATGAACATTTGGAAGATTTCTGTCCAGGTCCCTTAGATAATTACAGGTCAAAAGCTTCTTTTAATTGGAAAGAAATGAAGTTGCTATTCATTGGTAGAGATATGATTGAGTTTCAGGTAATATAACTTTGATATTTTTAAAACTTAAATTTAGAAACAAATAAAATCTCTAATCACATTGTTGAAGATATTGATTGTTTTACATTTGTTTATTTAATTTATTCTCATGCCTTCCAATATTTGAATTTCGTATGAAATATGTTTATCTGTAGTAGCGAATTAAAGCTGAAGTTTTTAAAACAAATTGATTTCATATAAAACCTATATCAAGACTTTAGAACCAACATGACTTTTAACATATCTGTTTAAATTATTTATGTATGGTTGGGGGAAAATTCTTTAATTTTAGTTTATTGAAATGTGAATAAGATACCTTTGCTACCACAAAGGAAAATATTTTCCTACACTGCTCAAATTCTGTACTAGTTGGAGGGTATGTGTGTTTGTATAGCAATTTTAAATTAAAAACTTGATTGTAATCTATTTAATTTCTTGCATGACTACGAAGACTTAAAATATTTTTTCTTCTCAAAATATTGTTAAAATAAAAGAAGAAAAACATAATATTCCATTATGGGAGGGGGGTAATAAAAAACTGCTATGGCAACAGGCACTTAATCTATAAGGTCTAAAAATCATAGACATTTAATCATATGGGTAGCTAAAAAAAATTATTGTTGAGTCATTTATTGTTTGCAACCTAATATTTTAGTAAAATTATAAACATAAAAGCTTTGTGCTATGTACAATTTCATAATATGCTGAATCTTAGGTTATGTAGAGATATTGTGGTAATAGGTTTTATAAAATCTGAAACTGATATATAGTATACCAAGAAAACATTATTTGATCTATAAAATTTCATTGTATTTCTTTTTAGAACAGAGTATGGAAGACGTTAGAAGCCGATCCACTTTTTCATCAGGTACCCACAGCTGAATTAACACGCCAGGAAGCTAGGAAACTTTGTTTTCAGAGAATGAAACGCATCAAGGAATACAAATTCTTTTCTGATGAAGAATTTAGAGAAAATCCGTTAATTGCTTTAAATCTCTACATATGTGTAGGCATGATAGATTGGTCACTTGCTTTAAAACTTCTGCTTGGTTTAGAGGTAGGGTTTGCCACTTATCTCCCTTATTTTTACTGTGTATCCCTTTTCTTAATTTAATATTCATAGTAAATTTTAGATAATTACATGCATTAAAGATTTTTATCATTAGCAAATATCAAATTATTTGTTTAGATAATCAGGGGTCTGTCCAGGCCGAATTTACTACCATTTAGCGGTACCTTCACAAATTCAACTTTAGGAAAAGCAGTAGTTTCACAAATTCAATTTTAGGAAAA